ACAACACCAAAAAAAGGTTAAGTGTTCATTGTAAGATATTTGGTTGATAGTCACACAGGCATTTTGACATTTGCCTTGCTCACTGCTATTTAAATATTCTGACATTTAGGTTTAATTAAGCCTAAGTCAAGGAAGTAAAATCATACTGTGTCCCAAAGATCCATGGAATATTAGCATCATCTGTGTTGCATTATTCGGCGAATTTAAACGCAATTAAGTCAGATGTAGTGGGAGGGAGGCATGGTTTCACCCAAGACCTTTGTACCCTCATTTATGGTTAATTGTTCAATGAATTAATCATCAAGTTCACAAACTCCCTTTTTAAAGTCAGCGTATTCATTACTATTCCATTGCTTGCTGTCCATGCCAATGGGTGAAGTTTGACAGAAGAAATCACGGGAGTGGGTTCCTCACCCTCTCTCCTCAATCACTCCGCGCTCCCCAAGTTAGCCTCTAAAATTAAATTGCAGTTTAATCTTCTTCTTTTTAAGTGTACAAGATCTGTAATAGTGAAAACAAATTTTAGAGCTTTCTACAAATTAAGGAAATTCATTTGTCCCGGCCAGGGTCTTTTTCTCTCTCCATCTGGAGCTCAAAGAGGCCCTGCTCCAGCACCTCTCAGGTGGGCACCATTGCCATTTGAAGAGAACAAGGGAGAAGTTCATGGTGAGCTCCGGCACCTCTTTTTCTAGAAAATCAGCACTGCTCCCAACCTTCTCCAACTGTAAATTTCAATATAAAGCACCCAAGGATCCAATCACATTGCTGAAGGGGGAGCGGAATCCATTAAGTCTTGTGCCTTTTTGTTGTGCTACCTCAATTTTATCCAGTAGTCTCCTACAGTGTTGGGAAGATTTGAAGGAAGTACAGTGGTACCTCGGGTTACAAACGCTTCGGGTTACAGACTCCGCTAACCCGGAAGTAGTACCTCGGGTTAAGAACTTTACCTCAGGATGCGAACAGAAATCGAGCGGCGGCAGCGGGAGGCCCCATTAGCTAAAGTGGTACCTCAGGTTAAGAACAGCTTCAGGTTAAGAACGGACCTCCAGAACGAATTAAGTTCTTAACCCGAGGTACCACTGTAGACAAAAACCCAGCACGAGATGAGAGGGGGGCTGCAAGAAGAGGCTTGCCTCTTTGTGCCATTCCCCCCCCAACCCTCTTCAATGACTTAGTGATGCAGGGCTTCCTCCTGCAGCAGGAAGCGCTTGGTGAACTGCAGAATTACTCTGCCACTGGGAGAGGCAAGATATGAAACTTAACAACCTGCACACACCTTAAAGCTCTAGCCATAAAAACCCCAAACAGGATGTTGCTGCAGTTAATTGGAAACATATTTTGTTGTTAATACCAGCAGACTCTTCAGATTTTTAAAAGCCAGAAGTTACTTAACCACATAGACTTACAACAAAACAAGAGGATACTGCAGTTTTTAAAAAGTTGGTGGTTACAAAAGGGACGGAGCACATTAAATCAGGGGCAGGGAAGCTTTTTCAGAGCCAACAACCACAACTGCCTTTTTGTGGCCACATTCTCCTGGCGGGCAAGGCGAGAGGCAAAAGTGGGAAGAACAATAGATGCAAATGTTATGTTTGTTACAGTAGTCTCTTGAGACACACAGATGCCAACAACTTCAACAACAAACACCTGTTATTCTCTTCTCCATCGAAGCAAGCTAGAGACATTATCAAAGTTCAGATTCCAGTCAGGCAAAAACACTTAAGGAAAGTGTCAAATAGGGATAGCTATGGGTGTGGCCTGAGGAAAATGGGTGTGTCTAAGGGGGTGTCAGACAGACAGGCCTGGAGGGTCAGATCCGCCCCCCCCCAAGCCTCACCCCTGTGCTAAATGGATAGCCTTGCTGTACGCATGCTGCACTGAACTATTTCTAAGGCAAATTGCACCAATATACCACTTAGGGGTGATAGATGTATCCAAATATTGCAACTGACCTGAATGCAGCTTTTATGCTGGCTGTCCCAAGTACTGAACTGATCCGTAGCTGTTTATCCACCCACCGCCTCTCAGATGGCAAAAATATGAGTCAACAGGCAATCCTAAATATGCATACACTTAAATGAATTAACATGGAAATATGCAGCTGTTTTATATCCCTGCAGGAACTGACAACCCTTCTAAACAATCCAAATCAATTCCACATTAAGAGCCGCAGTTTATCAAGGTTCTATGAACTACTCAATAGCAAACATTTGTCTGCGGTGATCCCTCCAGATGATTTTTTTTTTTTTTTTTTACTTTAAGAAGTCTGAGCCTTAACTGTTTCTAAAACTAAATGAGTTTTTAGCAATTTGGCCTTGAGGGGTGAGGTGAGGCCAAGAACTACAGCTGTTCCTTTTTTAAAAAGGAAAGTGGCTCTATTTAGGAATGTGGGTGAAGGTAGACACAAATATCAGTAAGCATGTCTTAAGACACTCACACTCTGAATGTCTTCAAGTAGAAATGGTCCAGTCTCTACAAAACACTCTGGCTCATAGCTCCTCCTCCTCCTCCTCCTCTTCTTGGCTCATGTTTAATTGATTTCAGTGAAATGTAACTGTGAACTTTACAGCACTTTGTGGCATCAGAAATATATCAGGTTATAGGCTTCTGAATGAAAAGGTCTGTTGGTGCTGTTGCACATAAAGGTGACCACCAATAAAAATATTCTGTGATCATTTATTTTTACTTTAATAAACGTACAGTTTCATTTGCACCAGAAGCCCCTGCTTCATTTACCAGAATGTTGCACTCAGTGCAACTTTGTGAGTCACATTTTCTCTCGTGTAATGGAAACAATAATGCCTCTCTGTACTTGACATACTAAGTTGAATCTCTCACATGCTTCTGCTTTCTTCCTGCAGCACAGTCAACAACCTTTAAAATCACCACTCCTTACGCACTCTATATCTGCCCTGAGGGTCAGAAGGTCACCTTGACTTGCAAGCTCAGTGGGTCTCTGGCATCCCAGCATGACTCCATTTACAAATTTTGGTACTTCAGCAACCAGGGAGACCAGAGCTGCTCCCAGAAAAAACATGTCCGCAATGTCTCGGCAAAGGAGCTGCATCATGAATCAGAGAAGCACAGTGGGCAGCGTGGGAGCCACCATGGTTTGGAATTCTCCTCGGATCACCACGGGACGTTTTATGTCACCATGGCAAACCTTTCTCTCAAGGACAGTGGGAACTACTGTTGCTACGTGGTAGAGGCTGAAAAGGAGCACAACAAAGCACATGCCAAGCAACAGGCTCACGGGTTCATGGAACTTCGGATACAAAAAGGCAGGTGAACTTTGTACACAAAGCAGATATAGCTAAAGCCATCTTTTCGCCTGTTTCATATTTTCCTAGAACATGGGTCAGCAAACTTTTTCAGCAGGGGGCCAGTCCACTGTTCCTCAGACCTTGTGGGGGACCAGACTATATTGGGGGGACGAACGAACGAATTCCTGTGCCCCACAAATAACCCAGAGATGCATTTTAAATAAAAGCACACATTCTACTCATGTAAAAACACCAGGCAGGCCCCACAAATAACCCAGAGATGCATTTTAAATAAAAGGGCACATTCTACTCATGTAAAAACACACTGATTCCCGGACCGTTCGCAGGCTGGATTGAGAAGGCATTTGGGCCAGATCTGGCCCCCGGGCCTTAGTTTGCCTACCCATGTCCCCTTTGTCACACATACAAACCTATTGGAATGGATGGTCCTACACTAAGGGTGGTGGTATTCAACCAAGTTTTACTCAGAGAGAGTCCCTTAATGGATTTAACTGACGTAAGAAACTGCATTCTACTGAGTCACATCACTGGCCCATCTAGTTCACTATTGTCTACACCGAATGGCAGCAGCTCTCCAGGGAGCCCTAACCTGGAGATGCCGGGGATTCGAACCTGGGACCTTTTGCATGCAAAGAAGATACTCTTATCACGGAGCTACATCCCTTCCCTCAAGCCTAAAGTGCTTAGCTATGTTCCATAATTTCAATTTTACACTGTGTGGAAAGCTTAGTTGAATGCCATTCTGACAATCAAAAACTGTAGACTACCATTGCGGGGGTAATCAAAAGAGAAAGCTTAGAACTGAGCCAAACTAGGGACACTTCACACACACACACACACAATCTGACAGTGATGAAAATGTCATTATCTGATGGTTTTTCAGATGTTGCTCCATAGATCGGCTTGCCCATTCAGAGTGAGTGCAATGTTGATCCAAGAAACATTGACCACACTGCCTTAACTGGTTTAGTGATGCTGTCACACAACTAACTGATTGGCTACATAGTCTGACATCATCATAACCCATGATTCCTGATAGGCTAAAAAGATTATTCTCAGGAACATGAAAAAGTCATCTTAAGAACAGAGCACAAAGTAAATTTTAAAAGCCTCCCCCCCCCCAATTTCTTCCTGTATTTTTAAGAATCGGGTTGCAATCTTATGTACTGTATGCTTTGAAGTTCTAATAAGAGTATCATATATAATCATTTTAAACCAATAAACATTTAGGAAGCCTCCCAAGACTTTGGGATTTGTCCATTCTGTAGCGACTGGCTATTCAGACATAATGCTAACTCAGTTTAATGTTACGAGAATGAGCCTAGCCTCCCCTAGCCTCTTGCTCACTTCTCTTTCCTCTCCTCCAGCATAGTTGTGAGGGGAATATTAAAAGCCTTTTTTATATTTTGCTTTAGATTAATCAGTTTAGCAAAGCATGTGATCTGAACCTCAAACTGTGGTTCATCTTAACTTGTGAAAACAAACCAGTTTCATTAACTCTGATTGGACGTTTATCGTAAGGGAAAGCTTCCTAACTCCTCCTCGTGGCCACATTGGGGGAGGAGGTGAAAGTGAGGGTGCTATGTTCATTCTTACCCAAACCAGCACTTTATGTTTGTCCCTTTTTCAAAAGACCGCACAAAAACTGACTTTCCAAGAAACTAACAACTATTTCTTTTATTTTACAGCAAATGCTACTTTCCAAAACTGCACGCTTCATTCTGCAGCCAGCATGGAGAGTGAAAGTAAGACGACCTTTGCAACTCAGACAAATCATTCTCTTTAAATGAGTGCAGATTACATACAGTATTCTGTTTCTATTTCTTTTCATTGTGGTTATTTATTTATTTATTATCTCATTACCTGTCTCCCTGCACTGCCTTACAGGCTCAGACTTGACCACCTTGCCTAATCCCCCATATTACCCATTATCTCCTCCATTCTTTAGGCCTCATCTGATTTATTGCTTGCATGCATGTGAAGTAGCTTCCTGTGCACTATTAATCCGGTGGTTTCCTGCTTTTCTCAAGATTCATATCTTTAGCAGCACCTTTTCTGAACAAACCTTCACTAACTTTTCCCTAACTCTCCCCAACCCTGCCCAGTTTATTTTGCCTGCCCCAAACTAACATTTCCTTGCCCCATAAGTATTTATTGCAGACTGTAAGCCCTCGAAGGCAGTGCCTAAGGCATTACAGTGGTACCTTGGGTTAGAGACGCTTCAGGTTACAGACTCCGCTAACCCAGAAACAGTACCTCGGGTTAAGAACTTTGCTTCAGGATGAGAACAGAAATCGTGCAGCGGCAGAGCAGCAGCAGCAGCAGGAGGCCCTATTAGCTAAGGTGGTGCTTCAGGTTAAGAACAGTTTCAGGTTAAGAACAGACCTCCGGAACGAATTAAGTACTTAACCTGAGGTACCCCTGTACTGGTATTCTATATACGTTAAATATTTGCTATCTCACTTCAAAATGCAGCACAGGGGCTTGGTGGGAGGCAGACATCTATTACAGCAACAGAGGGCTGCAAATCCTAGTTGCACCTTGCTTTTGACGGGGCAGCCTCCCTTTCCCCGGGAAGAGCTGGTTGTAACTCTGGTGTATATTTTAGTGGAACTGTTGCATAGGAAGCTGCCAGATACAGAGTCAGGCCATTGGTCGATCTAGCTCAGTACTGTTTACACTGCCCCGGGTTGCTTCCTAGGCTTTCCAGCAGGATTTCCTCAGTCACAGGATCATAGAATTGCAGACTTGGAAGGGACCCCAAGGGTCATCTGGTCCAACTCCCCGCACTGTCTGGAAATGTCCCACCTGGAAATATCAGAAGCTGGGACCTTCTGCATGCAAAGCAATGGCAACTGCTGGCAGCTCTTCCTGATGATTTAGGCCAAATATATATGTAGATTATTGGCATCTAAGGCTCTCTAGCATCAAGCACAAGGTGGAAGAAAGTTGTCATGTTGTAGTCCTGCTACAGTACATCATTTCATATGATGTACGTGGTTACATTCATTCCCTCTTTCCAATGAGTAACGTCTTCATAAAGCTGAGCAAAAACTAACCTGGAGAAGTTCAGAGTTCAATTAATAGTGCGTATGAATAACGGAGGGCATTTGCAAAAAAAAGATCAGACAGTAGCCTGTCATGAAGGGCAGGTTCTCTCTAATTTGTCTTAACCTATTTGCTCCACACCTTGAATTCGTCTGCAAAAGTAAATTTGGAGGAAGTATTTGTTCCAAGGTGCTCACGCAGGACTAGAATCAAAAGTCCCCTGGTAGTAAAACCTTTGTGTTCTGATCTGCAGAGTTTATTCTCATACAGTCATCATTAGCTGTATGGTATTTGAGCTTCCGTAGAAAGTAGCTGATCCCTTGTGACGATCTCTGAACAACCCAACATAGTTGGGAAACAGGGACTTGGACAATGAAATAAGTGGGCAGTTCAAGGAAACAAAAATAAACTGAAAGGACATTTTAGTATTTGTGCTGTATGTGGATATGCTTTGTTTGGAGAAACAGTGCTTTCATATTAGCAATGCCATACCTTGGCCTTACGGTAAGACTACAGTGTTTTCTTAATCATTAAATTGGTGGGGGCCCTTAGGATCGTCTAGTCTAACCCCCTGCAATGCACGAAAATGCAGTTGTCCCATACAGGGATCAAACCTGCAACCTTGGCATTCTCAGCATCGCACTCTAACCAACTGAGCTATCCTTTCTTTTTGTTTTCACAATATCGATGACAAATTTATAAATATGAGCTAACATATCTGTGGTAATGGTGCCACAGGTGTTTACAGATCGTATATCATCATTGAAGACAAGACTACATGAGATTAGTGGAACTTCTGTGGAACTGATAACAAAACACTTTTTGGAAAAGGGAACAAAAACCTGCTGTCAGACATGTTCCTAAATCAGCTCTGAAGGTCCTAGTAAAGTTGTACCTCCTAGCCAAATTTAGGCCAGGAGCTCACATCTGCTTTCTTAGTTTGTCCTTAATGACTCAGGGTGGGAGCTTTAAGAACCTCTTTGTTCTACACTATATTCCACATCTTCAAAAACAAAGCTTCCATTTCCCACACATGATGGGAAACATAGCTTATTACCAGACTAGAGGCAATTCAAAATCACTGGAGATTTCTAGACAACATGCATAAAGACAGAGCTTGACTTCTTACAGTTCCCGCAAACAGCACTGAGGGCCAATTTATACAATCACAAAATCAAGTAGGGAAGTTTTTCAAGCAGCAAATGAGTCAAGTTGCACGTTTCAATTGCCACCACCTCCCTTTCCAGGAAAACGTCTCTAGGAAAACATCCCCTCATTGACATGTTCCTGTATTACACATGTAGGAGATCTCATTTTTGTGGAAAAATATGCAGTCCTTCAAATTGCAGCCTGATGTGAATCTGTCTAAGGAAGTTTTCCACCCTTGCTCATGGGAGTTGAATAAACAGGTCTTGACTCTTGTTCTGCATCTTACACATATTACTGAACTTGTTCCAGCCCAACTAATTCTGACACTTGCTATTTATTTTGTTCGCTAAATATATGGTATCTTTAATTTTAAAAAGGACCGGAGAGTAGAACTTCATCTTGTTGCAGAAAAACCAGACAAACTCTGAGCTTCAGGTTCTCACTGTTCACTAACTTGGCTGATTCATTTCTGGATGAATATACTTGTCATAGGTGCTGTAACTACTTGGAAGCAGTTCTGTGTGAATGAAAGCTGCTCTTTCACTGCGATTCGGCAATGCTTAGAACATTTTTCTCCCTTCTCTTTCTCCCTTCTTTTTCAACAAGTCTAACTCATACTAGTCATATCTGTTTCGAGACAGATCTGTCCTGTCTATAATCTAGACACTATTTAATATCTGTAAATAAAAATAGGCTGCTGGCATGGAATTTGCATTTACCTACCAGGCTTTGGGTTTCACTGCCTTGATTAAATCTGCACATATGCAGAGTAAATAGTATTTGCTGGACTAAAACACAGCTTGCCAAGTCAAGTTGTAAGTTGATAAAGGTTTAGGAAGTTGTGGTCTAGCACATGAGGCAGAGAGCTTTGCATGCGATTAAATGTCATTAGCTTATCATGAATCTGAGCCCAAAGGGCGATGAAACTACCAAGTGCCTTTGCATTCACTTTGGATCAAGTCCAGTATTTGCAATTACAGCAGTGTCTCTCTCCACCCCCCCGCTCCTTTTTGTACTGGCAAAAGGGGCTGAACAAAATATATTGTTCAAGCATTTTTGAAGAAATTTGGAATACCCTTCAAAATATCATACATAATTTTTTTAAATTTCCCCAAACTTGCCAATTTGAGTAAAATACAAGTAGGCATCTATAATAAAATAGTAATAATAGTAATAATAATAATAATTTCTTTTTCTTTTTATTAATACCCTGCCCACCTGGCTGGGTTTCCCCAGCCACTCTGGGTGGCTCCCAATAGAATATTAAAAACACGATAAAACACCAGACATTAAAAACTTCCCTAAACAGGGCTACCTTCAGATGTCTTCTAAAAGTCAGGTAGTTGTTTATTTCCTTGACATCTGATGGGAGGGCGTTCCACAGGGCGGGCGCCACTACCGAGAAGGAGGTAATCTGGGGGATAATCTGCATGTAGCTAATGGATTTTCATTAGCAGGAAAATATTCATTAGTTAAAATTATATAAAATGAGTATTTTCCTATTATTTACACATGCAGTCTCATTTGTATGCTGGGATCACATAGTGAATTTATATTTAAATTTGTTACGTTTTAATCAAAATAAAATGTTTAGTTCCTTTTCCACCTACGAAAGTTTCTTGCTAAACAATAACCAGTGGTGTTTATGTATTTTGGACCACAAATGATGAGAACCGCCGTCTTTTTCTGGGCTCCAGTGCCCTCTAAGCTGCATAACCGGTGTAACATCAACAAACTGAGCTCTCATTATTAAGTAGTGGATTGACAAAGCAGACAACACAGAGATTTCTCCAAGTGGTTCTTTATAGTATGCTGGAACTGAACTGAACAGCAAACAGCTCAGCCGGCCTGCTTTTATAGGCAGCTGGCTGTCAACATTGCAACAACAAGAACCCAGGTTTTCCCGCCTAAATGAACTGACGTGGACCTGAGTGAAAACTATATACATGATACTCCTGGTGGCCAGGGTGAGAACTTCAATACATAACACTCATCACTTCACAGAATCATAGAATTATAGAGTTGGAAGGGACCTCCCCCCCCCCCCCGGGTAATCCATTCCAATCCCCTGCAACACAGGAATCTCAACTAAAGCATCCATGACCCAAGGCCATCCAACCCTCTGCTTAAAAACCTCCCAAGGGAAACCGTTCCACGGTCGAACAGCTCTTACAACCAGAAAGTTCTTCCTGACTTCATCTCCACGTCAGGAGTAACCACACCTCTATAACATTTCAGTCTGACAGAAAGCAGTGCAACTATATGAAGAACCCAGTAGGCAATAATATAATTGTCCTAGGTTTATATACAACTACATTTGTTACCTTTCTCAAATGCTTGAGACATTTCTTTTCATCTGAATAATGATTACAGCCTTATAAAATTGTTAAGGGACGTTTGCCTAAATTTTGATGGAGCACCACATTTCTGAAATAATGAAAATCCACTTCGTTACACAGGAATATTATTATACCGTGGCAAAGGCAACAACACTTTTAGTATAAAGGAATTGCTTTTCTATTCAGGGCATTTTGGCCTCATATCTAAACCACCAAATTCACACCCAAGAGCCTCCAGCAATGAGAATAATCTTTCTGCTTGCTTGATGATGTGACTCTCTGTTTCCTTGCTCTTTTTCAGATGTCACAGCAGCTGCACTTGCAACAGGGGCCTGCATTGTGGGCATTCTGTGCCTCCCCCTAATTCTGCTCCTCATTTACAAGCAGAGAAAAGCAATCGCTAACAGACGTACGTATCAAAACCTTTCCCTCCCCTTCCTCACCCCGTCCAGTCTTGATTTATTTCTCCTTAACAGGCTTAGTATTTGGTGCAAAGTGACACATCTGGTTCTTCTCCTCTGTGTCCTTTCAAGAGCACGGACGCTAATATGAAAATATTTGTGCTATTGCATTAATGATACCAAGCCATTTACGGTGAAAGCAGAATTGCTTCTGGGAGGTCATGTGTGTGTCTTTTGAAGTACTATGCATTGGTGATAAATTTCACGGCAATGGCAGTAGTCCTTTTGTTAGCTCCTCCCTCTCACATGCTGGAGTGAGCAGGACCTGTTTTGCTTCACATTAGGCAGAAGAGAAAGGCAGCTGAGGGGCTTGCAGCAAAGTTACGTCTGCATCCCATTTGCTGCTGGAGAGCTGTTTAAAATGTATTCATGAGCTCTGGATTTGAACTTGGAAATCCTAAGCGGAAGTGAAGTTGTGTGGCGTGGCACAGCACTGATTGCTTTGAATACAAAAGCAAAAATGTTTCCATAAGCCATTTCTGGCCTTTTTTCTGACTTACACCACTTCCTATTGCCCACGAGAAGCAATGAGCAGAAAGCTACTACATACATTTTATTTATTTCACAACATTTATATATCGCTCGACTGCGGTAAAACTTCAAAGTGGTTTGCAAAAAGAATAAAGCCATAAAATTGTCCATAAAAGCGGTTAATCGAGTATTTTAAACATTCAGAAATCATTAAAACCTGCAATAAATTTAAGACCAGATTAAAACACACCTTGGCTTCTGCATGTCTGGATAGGCTTCTCTGAATGAAAATGTTTTTAGCAGGCTCTGAAAAGAGTACAGCAAAGGCACCTGCCTAGGATTGCCATATTTCAAAAGGTGAAAATCTGGACACAAAAGTTGCTGAGCTTTTTTTTAGCAAAATCGCACACACACAAAATTGACGTATTTGAGCTATTTTTTAGGAAAATCAGCAAAAACAGCACTGCTGACATGGGTTGCCGTGCGTCCAGATTTTCCCAGACATTTTCCTGATTTCTGCCCAGACAGTGCTTCCGACTGCAGTATTCTGGGTATGTCCAGGAAATTCCAGGCATATGGCAACCCTACAACTGCCTGACATGAATAGGTAGGGAGTTCCAAAGTGTGGGTGCCACCGCACTAAAAGACTGATTTCTTACAAGTGTGGAACACGTATTATGTGGCATCTGTAACTGTGCCAGCACCACAGATTGAAGCAAGTACGGTGATCTTGCAAGGCAACTGGTCCCAAGCTAATAAAGGCTTTGTATGCCAATATAAACTAGGCCATGAACTTGGCCCAAATTGGCAGCCAGTGCAAGGCTCCGAGAAGAGAACTTATATACTGATAGGTTCTTACTCCTGCCACAGCATTCAGCAGTAATTACAGCCTCTGAGTCAAGCGTAAAGGAAGCCACCCCCCCCCAAATATCTTACAGTGTTTCCGTTGCTGAATTAGTTTAAATAAAACAAATATTTGTGTTACGCCTATTCTGCCCCAGTTCTGCGTATTAGGAGTTGTTCTGATTAAAAGCCAACATTCCAGCTCTCTATTTAGCAGCCTGTCAGCTGCTTTCATGTTCCAGGCATAGAAGCCTCTCTCCTCGGACTCCTGTTTATACACATTTCTCGGAAAATGGCTGGCTGGGGGGAATTGGCGGAACGAAAGGGCAGGGTTGGTCAACGAAGCACCAGCTTGTTGAATTGTACTGGGGTGTGGCATAGTGCTCTGTCGCTACTTAGAAATTGCATCATTTCTGTAATACTGCGTTCATATTGGGCCAGGATGCTGCTGAATGTTTTCTTCTTTCTGAGTTGCATGGAGCAACTGGGCCTGCACACAGGCAACTAGAGAATCGGGAGTGACTTCTTCCTTAGCATTGTTCTATGCCAAAGGGCGATGTCTCACTACAAAAGAAAAATGAGCCTCTCTTCCTTTTCGTAATGCCAGTTGCTTCTGTTACTTACATAAACTAATGATGCAATAAAATTAACTAGAACGAACCAAACATTTCTGTTTCACTCCCTAAGGGAATTATTATTTTTTTAAGTGCAAAATTATAACAGGATGAGCCATCACCTTTCTTAAGTGTAAACAGATGCACACTCATATACTGACAAACAACAATTTATGATCACTGCAGAATTTGGCTTGTCTGAATTCTTCAAAAGTTCAGGGCATTTTTTACATATAAGGCTTAGAGAACCTTGTAACTTAAATCTGTCTACCCTGGGTCAAATCCCCATTGGGATGGATTGCTTTGCTTTGATTTCAGGACATTCACATTGGAATGCACAGCCAGCAGGGCTAATGCTTGGAAATACATTAGCTTGAGGTGTGAAAAAGACGTGTGTTTTTTAAACTGTGGAACAACCTTCTTACATTTCATATAAATATTACAGTTTCGTTCATTATGAACAGTGTGGTTAAATTTCAGCAGCTGCTTGGTTCCTTCTACAGCTTAGCTGTAAGAAGTAGAGGAATGAAAGCATTAAAATCTGGAGCTAATTAGACTAACTAATGTACAGTTCATTGGATTTTTTTATTTATTTCCCTCATCTTTTCAAACCTCATTTTAGGCATTGAAGTGAGATATATCCAGTGCATTTGGGGGGGTATGCAGGGGTACACATACCCCTAAACATTTTGTGAATCTTTGTACTTTTGTCCATTTACTGTATTTATTTTCCCCAATTTGAACTATAAAATGGTGATTCAAAATGAGAGTACCCCTAAACATTTTTAAAAGAAAAAAAAGCACTGGATATATCCCCCCCACAGCTCCATTTTAATACTACCCTAGCTGCTTTCATTGTGCAAAGTTCCAGCAAATGTTTCTTGGGTGTAAGAATTCAAACACAGTGGATTGCCTCACATTCTGAGGTTCAGAACTCTTACATTGCAGAAGTTGCGAAGTACATCAGAACACACTGGTTGCCTTCCAACAGATACTGTACTTTTGAGGGGATGGAAGGAGGCGAAACGGGGAACTTCTTCAATTCCACTGAATTACCACGACACACTTGTAGCAGGCAAAACATACTCAATGACACTCCTTCTGTATTGCTTGGAGGGTGATCCCCACACTAAGAGTTCTCCAACTCTTGCTACCACCTAGGAGCCAGAGGTCTCAGAGAAAGCTAGCCCTGGCTAGTCTAAGAGACTTTCTGTTACACTTTCATTCTGATTCTTCTCTGCGTTGACTAGAATGAAGCAGATTTCAATCAAATGCCCATTGTTAAGAGCTATATTCAGGAACCAAAGAAGAAAGGTGATTTTCCTGAATAGTTTAGGTCCGTCTTGTGCAGGTTGTCTAAGCAGTCTCTAGAGGACTGTCTTGCAGGCTCTGCCCAATGTAGCTGCTGTGCGATGACTGAGTCAGCTCACATGGCCTAGTCTCCCCCGTCTCCTTAATAATCTTGCTTTGGAGCCTTGCTTCAATCCACTACACTGATGCGTATCACATAGGCCTAGTTGAAGGTAATCAACTAACGGATTCCTCCACCCTTGGAAAGGAAAGGAAAAGAAAATAAGACGGTCCAATCTGATCTCTCTTTAATATTAGGGCTTGGTTTCTGGGAGCTCTACAAAGAATATACTCTCTTGCATTTCAGTTACACAATGAATCTGTTACTATAAGTAGCAAATAAGGAGGAAGTTACTCTTCTTGCAAAAACAGGTGCTTTTAGACTCAGCAAAGGACTAGTGTTTCAGTTGCTGTACAAAAAATGTGTAAAAGAATGAAGAAAATGGAAGCAGGAAATACTAAAAAGTGCAAACAGAGGGAGTAGGAGAGAAGCAAATTTTGTCAAATAGAAAAATGAATGTCAGCAACATATGCAAGTTGGATACGATCCCGTTTAATTATGCCGAACAATTTCTAGTCTCAAAATAAATTGCAGAAAGACCCCAATTTTTAAAATGTATTTTTTTAAAAATTCTTTTTGAAGAATTGTGAATACTAAGTTTCTCTGAAAGAGTAAATTGTTTAATATTAAATAATCTGAATATAAACACATCAGTCCTACAGTTAAATATCTAAACCAATACAGTGACTTCAAGTTAAAAAAGGCTTTTAGAAATAATTGAAGAACGAATACGGCAATTTCTCTCATACGAATATGTGCACTCCAACTACTAAACAGAGGCATTTAACGGTCTTCTCATGAAAATAAATCTTTCCAGTTTACTCAACAACTTAACAAATATTGCTTCACCCTATTAGTCATTCTAGTTGTTTGTGACACTGTTTTTGTGAGGGTGAGTGCACCCGGGCCAAAGCAGAGTGAATCAGAAAAATAGCATTATGCTCAAAAGAAAGAGAGACAACGATGACCAGTGCACAGGTTATTCGATTCTCATACTTAATTTCACAAACTGCAATGGCTTCTGGTCCTAAGTGTCTCAGGAATCAACCACCTGACGTCACAATAATGTCGAGTGAACCATTTTCGCATGGGCTGGTTTGAAATCAAACCACGTAGGCAAAGGCAGAAACTCTGCAAGCCTCAATGATCAGCTGCACAGGGGCTGCAAACACCCTTTTGGCACAGCTGCAGCTTTACCTGCCCCCACACCTGTAGGGCAGGTGGGCATGGCTTGGTCAAACAGGCAGGCCTGGTGGGCCCATTAAGGACTGTGGGGTGGAGGTTCCCAACCTCTAGTTTAGAAAACGCATGAGGGAACGCCAGTGGAAAGCTCCATTTAAATTGGTGTTTTCCTCTCCGATGCCTCCTCATTACGTAAATTGCTGATTTAAATTACCTTTGCTTTAAATCCACCCTGATGGGCTGCTTCACAAAGTTCTGTCACTGTATTTATGGCAAATACATTAACCGCTTGCACCAAATCACGCTACCCCACCAAAGACGAAACTCCCTACATTCAGAAAGAGAAAAATCTCTCTGTCTAGGAGAATACACAGCTATATGTTTATTTGTTTGTCCTTACAGAATGATAAAATATGTGGTTCCAGAACTCCGCTCCCACCTGTCCCACAAGCCCCTTTTGCCAATGCGTCTCAATCCACCCACTGCAGCAAAGAAGGATGTTAGTTTCTTTAGTCCAGCTGCAGGCAGAGATGGAAAGGGGGCAAAGTGGCTCTAGGTGCATTGTGCCTCTTGCTGCTTTATAGCTTTAAAGGGAAAGCCTGTCTCCGAGTCGACACGTGACAACCCTGTCCAATACACAGAGTCTAAGGCATGCTCTGGATTTCCTGTGCTACAAGCAGTTAGCAATTGCAACATGGTCAGAATATACATGCACACTTACTTGGAAGTAAGCTGTATTGAACTCACCTGTGTAAAACAGGCATAGGACTGGTCACGCTTTTAAATTAGAAAAGTTGGTAACGCTTCCGACATTTAGAAAAGTAAAGCAAGCTAGTTCCTTTTTTAAACATTTAGTATCCTGAATATTTTTGTAATACGAGTAATAACATTACCAAACTTCTCGGTTATTTATTTTAAAGCCTTCATTGGTGCTGTTTCAGGGAAAAGGTATTCAGAATCAAGCTCCCTGTGAAGTCATGTGCCTTTTATTAGAGTCACGAATTGCAACACATTCCTGATGATTAGCTCTAATACGTATTTCCCCCCAAATCCCTCTGCTTGGTGAAGGCAAGTTAGCAACTATTTCTGCCAATGCAGATGTAACTCTGTTGTGTTAAGAGTTTACTTGACTCCCCCCTCCCCTATTGCATGTTTGCTATTCCTTGTTGAAAGTATTTGCTAGGCAATATCAGAAAACAAATTACCCCATCCCCATCAGTGGTAGACTTTGGGCTCTCAAATGTCAGTGGTGTTCTGTGTGATGCTACAATTTGATGCCCTCTCCCCATTTCTCGCTCAGTTTACATCAGTGTTGTAGCGCCCCTGTGATACTGCCAGTGGCATAGTGTGGGTTTTTGGTGCCCGGGGCAGGGGAAGTTTTGAGTGCCCCCCGGGTGGACTGGACAGCTGGGGTGGAGGCATGTGTCCCAGCCCTGAAGGCCTGGCAAGGGGGTGCGGCTTGCTTTCCCACAGATCTGGAAGGCAGCAGTAGCTTAGTCACGAGGCCTCAAGTGATGGGGGCACTTGGTTGCGCCTCAGAATTTTGCACCCAGGGCCACTGCCCCTCTGCTCCTCCTCTGCTATGCCACTGGGTGCTGGCGCCCAGTACTGCTATACCAGCCACACTACCCTAAAACCACCTCTGTCCCTGTTTATACATGGTCTACTGTGCCTACTGGAATGTATAATGCTTACTCATAACATCACAAAGCACCCTTTCTCGCAGCAAACAAGCTTGTTTTAATTCTGTGCTTATTTGAACAACATCTAAAAACACACACACCCTCAGCTGATGGCCTATGAAGCAAAGAATCTCCCATTCCAGATGTTCATATGCTAGAAATATTTCCCTTCTGGAAAAAAAAAAGTGGTTGAAATAAAATTATGATAATATGCATAAATATATGTTCCTGCACAAACACATGCAAATATATATATATTTAAAACCCTTGAGGTTTTCGGTTACTAAATATGAGAGCTTCAACACTTGAAACTGAAAATCCAGGAACAATTCATGAATCAGACTTGAATGGTAACTATAAAGTTTCTCTTTTATGTAGCAGCTTAAATAAAGGAGCGCAGGAGGAACTGTAGGACCAAGACCCCTGTATTATATGCAGTAAATTTTGTTAGGATTTAACTTTTGCTTATTCATAAAAATGTTTTCACTAGAAGGAAAGAGGATGAAATAATGGACAGAATACCATTCCCGGCCACTGCTAAACTGCTTATATCTGGTATCTGAGTGCCATGTGGATTAATAGTTTCCACTTCCCCAGTCCAAATCACCAAGCCAATAAGCGTCACGACAAAAGAGAAAGGAATTTGTTGCTTAGGAAAAGCAAAGCAAACAGTCACTAAAGAGGAATTGTAAATGCATATCCTTATATGCACCATGGCTTCCTCATCCGTAGGATAGATCTCTTGAATAGAAAAGACCATACACTCAGCTCAAGGGCGATGGACAAAATTAACTTTGGGTTTCTTGTATAACTGAAATTCTATCACCTGAATTTTTTTAAAATGTGAAATAGGACTGCCTAGGGAAATGTCACAGTAACAACACTGCGTTCCTTTTTTGCAGGTGCTCACGAACTTGTCAGAATGGAGAGGTGAGAAATTCTGTTTTACTGTACAGCTATATTTTTACTTTGGAATTTGGCTTAGGGCACACAATAAAATCAAGAGAGGTTGAAGCATCAAGAAGTTGCGGTTTAGCAACAGATGGGATAAAGCAATTAATGAAACCACAGTAACGCAGCAGCCTAACAAGATCAAGCGGCAATCCCAAAAAGACTTCTTCAGAAAAGTCTGAAGTCTTTGTGTCTTAGAAAGAAGCCTTGCTAGAAAAGGAATTCAACAGAGAAGACAGCCACTGAGGAAAAGGCTCTCTTCCTAGTAGGTGCCAAATGCACCTCCTCAATGTTGGTATCTGAAGTAGAGTCTCTTAAGTTGCTATAAGATGCCAGTGTAGTGGAGGTGAAGACATGTCACATGGATAGAATAGTTCCTTGAGATACCCTGAGCTAGGACATTTAGGACTTTAAAAGTTAAGGCAATTGGGTCAGTACTCTTGGAACTCGCGTTATATAGATTCCATGTTTATATTTGCAGCAGGTGGCTGGAAACCTGTGAGCCAACTTTACCTACCATTCAACCATACCCTACTATTAGCTGAAAGAAGCCCTACAGCTCTATCTAACAATCTTCACGGCCAGTGTTAGGAAAGAGGGGCCATGGACAAACAAAACTTTGCCCCCATCTTCTTGTAGCCTCTTTCCTACAGGCAGAATGCCAGTAACGGGTTTTCAGTAGGCTGGCAACAGCCAGTCAGTAAAGGGAAAAAGATTTTGGCCCTTCATTCATGTACTCTGTCCCAGGCTTGCACACTGCTAAACCTAGTTGCACATTATGGATTTATGCACATACCTGCTGTCGGCCTGATCTAGGCTTTCCGAACCTCATCCTCTAAGCCAAATAAATCAACATTCCCAGTACAAGATAAACTTTTGCATACTTGATTTTTTTGTTCTGAAAGAGAGCTAACTAGTAATAAGCCCACCTAGCCAGAGGACAATCTAACATGGTGATAGATCTAGCTTTACCAGTCAACGGGTTCTTCTGTTGCTTACATTAATCAAAATATGACCCCTCCATAGTTCTAAAATGGACTGTCTGACAGCATTAAATGTGTTACGTGTCCTGCTCTGCAGGTTTTGCTTGAACCAAAACTACCTGGATAAACAAGACACTGAAAGATGGAAATTAATTTTGGTGTCACTACTGACACCACAAATAGTTACTTTGCCTTTAAGAAATGAATATTTTTACAGTGCTGGAAACTTGGCTTTTTAAAAGGAATATTTTGAGCAAAAAATAGACTCTCTAATTGGTTTGTAGCTGACTCAGTTCTTAGTAACCACTGAAATAGTCATTCAGGCACTACCAAACACATCTTAATACACACCAGTACTTCTCTCCTCGATATAATAAAGACACAAGTAGCAGCAATCTAAATAGAATTTGTTTTCCATCTAAGTAACAGCAGAATGAGAATGAGACTTGATTCTGGTCTGGTTAGTGTCTTGAACCTGTGCTTTTCCTTTCAGCAACACCCATGGCATTGAGAATCCTGTCTTTGATGACATTCCTACCATTAATTCGGAGCCCAAAGCTAGGCCGCAATTAAGCTACATGGCTAGCCGCCAGCTATCAGAGTCAGGTCGACATCTTCTCTCGGAACCGAATACTCCCCTCTCCCCTCCAGTCCCGGGGGACTGTTTCTTCCCAACACTGGGTAATTATTTATTTCTCTCTCCCTCCCTCTCTCGTCAGTTCCTTAAGGTAAAGGGGCCCCTGACCATTAGGTCCAGTCGTGACCGACTCTGGGGTTGCGGCACTCATCGCACTTTATTGGCCAAGGGATCTAAGCCAGCATGGCCAGCATGACTAAGCCGCTTCTGGCGAACCAGAGCAGTGCACAGAAATGCCATTTACCTTCCCGCCAGAGCAGTACCTATTTATCTACTTGCACTTTGACATGCTTTTTAACTGCTAGGTGGGCAGGAGCAGGGACCAAACAACGGGAGCTCACCCCGTCACGGGGATTCGAACCGCCAACCTTCTGATTGGCAAATCCTAGGCTCTGTGGTTTAACCCACAGTGCCACCCACGTCCCTTTTCGTCAGTTCCTTAGCTAGCAGTAATTATATATATATATATGTGTGTGTGTGTGTGTGCGCGCGCGCCAAATGCTGGTTGGTGGAATAATTTCCTTTTCAGAAGTTGCCCATGGCCATACATTTGACTACACGTCCAAGATCAAGGGGATGGGGAGTGCTGTTTGCTGCAACGCTACACGTTCTCAAACGCCTTGAGATCAGATAAGGGAGGATATCAGGAGATGAACAGCACCCTTTGGCTCCCTAGGAGCTTCTCTTATCAGTTTTGTTTCACTTATGGAAAGCCAGCAGCTGGAACTCTGGTCTGAATCCAGACTCAGTCCCCCTAGCGTTGGCAGGGAGGGAGGACTCTGGAGAACCTGAGATGTTTCCTAACCTCTTGATTGGGGTGGTACTGTGGCTTCTAGAGACAAATGCTGCCTGCTATGGCTCCAGAAAAAGGCTCTTATATGTTATGAATGCTAGCATAGAGTGGGAAGCAACCTGCATTCTCATTCACCGCATTCTCATTTTTTCTTTGCTTTTGGGCGGGAGATAAGAAGTAACCAGCTCAGAAATCTTTACAAGGGGCAGCAGACATATAACTACATATAAATAAGTTTGCAGGCATGAATATACGGGAGGAAGGGGGGGGAAAGCGAACTAATCATCACTGTTTGTTTTTCAGAGCCTGTTCCTGACTCACCAAACACGACAAATGCATAATAAAGTTTTCCAGGAAGAATGTCTTTCATGGAATCTTTGGCCTCAATTTGGACAAGGGACAAACAAACAAACAAACAAACAAACGAGAAAGGGCGGTGGATAGGAAGGAAAAAAAGCTTTTTGAAGACTGTTTCTAAGGGGAAGAAAAATGGTGGTCTCTGAGGCACTTGGTGCTTGTCCTAACTTTCACTTATTACTCTGTTCCTTAAATACAGTATATCAGGGCAGAAAATAAGTTCTGGAAGAGGCTGAGGTACTGAAACCTTCTAGGATTCTGATGGCTTTTTCTTTTCACAACGCTGATGATTTTACGAACAATTGCCACATATTTTAAAAAAGGTGTATGGTTTTAATACACCAGGACCATGTACAAGACTGGAGAAGAGATCAAGAAGATTTCTTAATTCTAACAGGAACAGGCCATGGGGAGGAATTATGAGTGTTACCACCATTTGCCTTAAAAACTGAACCGAGATTTTAACACTTTCCTCCATGGAAATATGGACTAGATTAAAAAAACAAAAAACTTCAAAGCTTTCTGTCAGGAAAAACCCATCTTAGGCGTTCTAGGTCTTTCTTTATATAAATTGTATTGTGTATACATATAATTTTAAAAGTGGTGCTTTGCAACAGATTTTGCTTGTATCTTGGCTTTAAAAAAAAATTACACATGAAAATCTCACAGTACCTGGCTGCAGTCTCAACTAATTTTTCCTTCTTAAAACATCGTAATTATTTTTTTAGCAAATTTGGCTCTGAACCTGCTCTCCGAATTCTATGAATCAGTCTTTTGATTTTCTTTTTACTGCTTGCTGCATGGTACATGCACAGCTATTAACTAATCAGGGTGGTGTAGCAAATAGTCAGCGAAGCACAAGCATGCCAAACTATCAAAAATTAGATATAATGTCAAATCTAGTCTGCCATTGTCACAAAACAATTGAGACCTATTTTAGAAATTTGCCCAAGATGTGGATTTCGCAACACACTTAGGACCTGACAGTTGTGACTTTTAAAAACAGATCTGAAAATTAATGTTTTGGTCTAATCCAATTTCTATCAAAACTGCAGTGGTTATCTCTCAAAGATATGAGGATATATTCCAAATGCCTTGGCTCAGAAGCATGTTTTAACCAGCTCCCGTTAATCTGGTTTCATAGTCTATTTAGCACATCCATTGCAAACAGTGGAAACTGCAAGGCAATGCAAGGCATCTCAGGCTCTTTGACTGATCATACCATATTCATTAGCGGATTAAGCCCTTCCAAGGCATGTGGGTTTGCAGAGAGGAACTAATGCTTCCCTTTCCAAGAGAGACCTCACATTAAAAAAAAAAAGAGTAATATACGAAATATGTAGGTTGTGATTATTTTAAATACATTTATAGGAATAAAAACCATTCCAATAATTTCTAAGTTATGCTAAGAGATAACATGCATGAGACTCTTAATCTCAGGGTTGTGGGTTCGAGTCTCATGTTGGGCAAAAGATTCCTGCATTGCAGGGGGTTGGACTAGATTGACTCTCATGCTCCCTTCCAACTCCACAATTCTATTATTCCTGCCCTACGTTCAGTAAGTAAGTTATTCTGGAAAGTTTGAAGTTAGGACGGATTAAGAAGAAAGTTAAGGCATCTTAAGAAGAAAGATATTCATTGCTTGCCATAGATGAGAGAACACAAGAAGTCTGACTGTACAGATCCTCCAACATTTAAAATACATATGAATTAAGAACAGAGAGTGAAGAAAAGAGAAAGCAGGCTTATTAATGACATGAGCAAAGACCTTACTCTTTCAAATTCATCCTGCTTGCTCCTGTCTAGTAGAAAGCGGTGTGTGTGTGTGTGTGTGTGTGTGTGTGTGTGTAAAGGTAACTGCTTGTGTAAAGGTAGGTCTGGGAACGGCTTATCCTACGTGAATATACCAGCTGCTCTGATAGTACCTCTGAATGTTTTTTATATTTGTTTTTTTTTTAAAAAAAAGTTCTGATGAGAAAATAAAAGGTTTATTGTGGTTGCGTTTCTCTTTTGCCATGGGGGGAAAAAGGACGTGGGCAAGTAATATTCATCAAGAACTCCAACAGAATCCATAGACCAGATTTCCAACACTCACTGCTGATCACATGAAACTGCCTTATACTGAACAAGACCACTGGTCCGTCATTACTTATTCTGACTGGTAAGTCGGTCTCAAGCAGGACTTTCCTCATTACCTGCCACCTGACCCTTTTATTTGGCTGATGCTGGGGTCCCTCTGCCTGCAAAACATGTGCCTCTCCAATGCACTGCAACACCCCCCCCCACTCACTTATATTTAGGTTTCTAATAAAGTTATGATGTTTCCATAAAATATAATGAAGTTAGAGTGGATTGGAATTGAGTGATTCATAGAATCCCAGACCCGGAAGGATCCCCAGGTGTCAACCAATCCAACAAGCTGCAACGCAGGAACCTCAGCTAAAGCATCCATGACAGATGACCATCCAACCTCTGCTTAAAAACCTCAAAGGAAGGAGAGTCCTTGTTATTTGGGAATAACAACTGTATGAGTGTAAGATAGCGTAGACCACAGTATCAAAATGCAGCCCATCCCAGTAAGGTCCCAAATGAAACTTTCACTAGTTCTTCTTTCTTTCGCAAGACAAGAGTATATACTTTAAGAATGAGAAATTACTCATGTTTGCACCGATTGTTAAATACACTCATACCTCGGGTTGAATGTGCTTCAGGTTGAGTGCGTTCGGGCTGCACTCTGTGGCAACCCGGAAGTAATGGAGTGTGTTACTTCCGGGCTTCGCCACTCGTGCATGCGCAGACGCTCAAAATGACATCACGCGCATGTGCAGAAGCGGCAAAACGCGACCCGCGCACGCGCAGACGCGCAGTCACGTCTTATGTTCCATGCAGGATGCGAACAGGGCTCCGGAATGGATCCCGTTCACATCCCGAGGTACCACTGTATTCAATTGGCATGGTAACAAACAGCATCAGAGTAGGCTGAGGAGATTGGGACTATACTTTTGGAATGGTGACGAGATGATATGAAGGCTCTGCAGAGAAAATTCCTCATGGGAGATGGACATAAAGCTGCGGAAGTGACGGTACACTTCATAAGCTGCTACCAGAAACTAAAAATGCTTTGACAGAATCGGCTAAAAGTCATGCCACTGCTAAATATCCTAGGGTTTAAAATTAGTGTAGAATAATGCACTCTACCGTGCAACTAGTACTGCTGACTAAAGCAATTTCCTCATCTTAGTCCAAAAGGGTTCTGGGAAGAAATTAGCATATCTTAATGTTCAGCAGCTGTTCACCACTACAACTTGGCTCAGCAATAAATAAACCACTAGAAATGAAGGGGGGAAATGTGCAAAAAGATGCCATGCTTCCTTTATTTTGGTTCCTCTTTTAATGCTTTAAAATTTGCAGCTTTTCTGTTTGCAGCACCACTGTAAGTCATAGCACGCTATCTTAACAACCAAAACAAACCAATTCCTGTTCAGCTACTCTGTTTTCTGACTGTATGATGGGACAAGAGAACCCTCCTCTAGCCTGGCAGATTATAATTCCTCTAGGAAGTCAGATGTATTGCCAAAAGGTATACTAGGAAAACTGGTATAGATTCTTGGTATTTGGTACTGTGCTGGGATAACTTGCGCAGATGCATGAAAGCATAGCCAAACCTATTTGGGTGGCATCTGGATAACATGGGAGTGCTCCAAACAGAGTTTGGATAAATTTACAATAAACAGCAAATATCTTTTGTGAACTTTGACAAAGCTGATCTGAGAACTAAACTGAGTCAAAGGGAGTACTTGCCACCTTAAAAGTTTGTAGATAAAAAGTGTAGGTTGGAATAAACTTTTGGGTTAAGATGAAGCAGGCTGATCAACTTATTATTACTGGTATCCTACTCTGAAAGGCAGCAAGCAGGAGCTGAAGATTAATTGATATTGGCTCAAATGATATCAGTCATTTGAATCATTAGGTTGTATCCAAATGGCTGTTGCATGTTGTGGTGCTGGAAATCATATGCAGGAGAAAAAGGGCTTGTGAAAGTAGTATATGGTTTTGCTGCAAGACACACCTTTTAATGGTACACTCTACATTTCTAAGCACATTTTCTAGGCTGAACTCAGTAAAATTTACTGCCAGTTAAACATGCTATGGACTGTGTTGCCAAACTGTTTGGACTAGTGGCATTCTCAGTCTGTTTTTGGATCCAGTATACTGATTACATAATCTCAAAATTCCTCACCCTAAAAAACAACAACCCTGTGTGGATGCACCACAGAAGTTACTCACAACCCCTGTTTTAGTTTGAAAGAGATACGCATGAAAAAGAAAATTTCTATTAGGTAAAAGTGGCTAAGAGATGGCCGAAAATGGGAAGTATTCAAAAGGAGAAGCTTTGCATTTACATTCCCTAAACTTGTTTGTTCCTGTAATTCTATGAGCATGAAAACACGTAGGCTACTTCCCTGTTGTCATTACATAAAGCATAAAATAATTTAGAGACCATGTACACAGGCACAACATTAATAATAGTTAGAACCAGAACATAACCTAGATGTCATGGTATCAAATATGTGCGAATCTACTGCAAGGGAGGCAGGTGTTTACTTCACTGACTTGCATTTCTCCAGTTATATCATCCAGTGGAAATCAGCACAGAAAAACAACGAACCCCAAAACAATTATGAAATGCACAATAAGCCAAGGACATGTGTGAATGGTGGACTGTACATCTTGCATTTCTGGTGTGGAGGAAAAATAGCTGTTGGATAGAGCAGCCTCCTAGCTTGCATTTCAATACATGAGAAACTAGACAGACAAGAGACAGATTATGAGTTTCAGGAGCAGCCTAAAACTGAATAAACATTCATTCTAGTATGGAACAGGGCAGCTATCTCAGGTCAACCTGAGATAAGTTATTAGTCACCAGGTAAATCAACAGCCAGAAATTCTCCTATCTGGAACCAACCCTTGAACTGGAGTGGAACCAGACTGTTGGCACTTAAAATCAAAAAGGTGGCACCTTTTAAACCGATTTTCCCTCTCTCGTAATACTAGAGTCCGGGGTCATCCACTGAAGCTGAATGCTGGGAGATTTAGGACAGACAAAAGGAAGCGCAGCTTCACAAAGAGCCTGGGCTGAACGATGGAAATGGCTCTCACAAGTTGTAGCAATGGCCACCAACTTGGGACAGCTTTAAAAAGGGTATTAGCCAAATCCATGGAAAATAAAAGTTGTCAATGACTACTAGCCACAATGGTGGGCACATCCTGCCACTGCCATCTGCAGGTGCGCCTTGCTGCTGTTGCAGGTGCGCCACGCTTCTGCCACAACCCCACCCCTGTCTCCTCCACTGTCACGCCCCACTGGTGATGCAGGTGCACCCATGGAAGAAGTGGCAGCAGGGTTTTGCCTCAAGAGGCAAATCTTCCCAGGCTAGCCTTGGGGGGATAGTGCTGTAACATGGTAGGTCTCACCTATAAGCTTTCTATAGGCAACTATATGGTCACGGTAAGAAGAGGATACTGGGTTAGATGGGTCTCTGGTTGGATCCAGAAAGGATCTTGCAAACCTGGTGCTTTGTAGGTAGGAGTAGCAGAGATAAGAAACTCTAATGTTAGTGGAGCACTGGTGTAAATCCTTTCCAGTTACTTTAAACAGGTTCCACCACTGTGCCTATATAAAAGCAGTATTTAACTGACCAGCATATTTATATATGTGTGAGAACTTGTTCTGCTCTACCTCCAAGTTGTAATAGGCAACAATCTGGATGGATATCATGAATGTATACACTCTCTGTAATACAGTGGTACCTCAGGTTACATATGCTTCAGGTTACAGACACTTCAGGTTACAGACTCTGCTAACCCAGAAATAGTACCTCGGGTTAAGAACTTTGCTTCAGGATGAGAACAGAAATCGTGCTCCGGCGGCGTGGCAGCAGCAGGAGGCCCCATTAGCTAAAGTGGTGCTTCAGGTTAAGAACAGTTTCAGGTTAAGAACGGACCTCCAGAACGAATTAAGTACTTAACCAGAGGTACCACTGTAACTGGACGGATCACTAAAATTGTAACGTGTGTTTGCGTGACCTTACTGTTAAATATGGACCATGTACTGAATCTGACAACACAGCGTTTTCAAAATAATCTTCCAATTTCAGAACTAGATGAACGAGGCAAATCTACCCTGCTCAGTTTTTCTTGGGACCTTTATCCCACAATAAGTGTATTCAGTAATTCTCAAGATCATTGCCAATTGCAAAATGTGGCATCGCACCATCACCACCTACCGAGAGGGCTGGGTTGCCTTCATCCTCCACAGTGACCACCAGCTGGTAGAACTGCTGCCTCTCACGGTCTGGAGGGGAAGGGCGGGTGGCGATCTCCCCAGTCACTCTGTCCATGCGAAAGGTCAGTTCCTCATTCCCTTGAGTGATGTAGTAGGAGAGGACACTGTTGAGGCCACTATCCCTGTCAGTTGCTCGCACCTGAGCCACAGCAGTACCTCCACCCACGTTCTGTGAGCACACACACAAAAATGAATATTAGTCTGGCATATCTAGATCTATGCATACTTCTCTAAAAATGGAACTGTGTCATAAAAATTAGATTTGGATTTGGGATTAGGCAAAGACTACCAGATGGGCGGGGTATAAATAATAAATTATTATTATAAATTATTATTATTATTACATCATCTTCCTATGGCAACAGATAGACTAGAACTGGTTTCTTATTGGAGCTCTTGTTGTTCAGTGTGGGACCCACAAGCAATTTGAGAGGATTGGCCATTTCACCAAATCAAGCGTTCTCTCAACCTGTTTGAGAAGCCACACATCGGACAGAGGCAACAGTATTTATGTCTATTAATTTAATCTGGATGGCACAACAAGCAGGGTTCTGCTGCCTAAACCCAGAAGCACATTGTCAAATAATATTCTCAAGTAAGTGTCTATGTATGTTGCAGAATATGAGGGGCTGTTGGGGTTAGAACCAGATCTTCCTTGTGCACAAATAACTCTCTTCACAGAAAGCCAGCAAGCAGAGAAGCTTACCTCATTAACGCTAACGTTGTATCCATATGGATTTGCAATAACTGGTGGGTTATCATTCACATCCAGTATATTCACTCTTAAAGTGTGTTCTTTCCTGCGAGGTGGGACGCCTCTGTCAGATGCTTGAATCTGGAATGCAGCACAATGTAATCAGGAGAAAATCTCATAGCCTTGATCAAGCCTGTTACTTAACTGAAATGAGGATGGCCTAAATAAGTAAACATGTCATAGCAATGAAGCTCTTGGATGAGCTAAGCCAATCTCTCCCACACACCCCCAATCACATATTTACCTACTGGTTACTTTATGGAACCTGGAGTATGTATGTGCATTATTTTATATGTGTAAATAATGTATATAATATGCAAGAACTGTTTTTACTTTTCATGCAATGCTCTGTTATCTCGTGACCAGGAGCCCTAAGTTGTCTCTCGAGCAGGAGCCCTCAGACATGAACTTAATTTGGCTAACATACTAATTTCTGAGTCAGCTCTGCCAGACATACAGTTGCCTGGCAGACATACCATTGCCTGTTCCCTGGCAGAAACAAGTTCCCCTAGCCCCGAGCTACATTCCCCCATTCATCTGTTGCTCCTGAGGAACTTTCTCTCCAAATATTCAGTTGTGTATGAGATATATGAGTACTTAGCATGTCTAGTAGCACCATGCACAGAACAACGCAACACAAGAGACTGTCAAATAGCTCTACTTTGATGAAAGATGAGTAAATAGAGCAGCAGAAGTAATTGCAGTGAACAATCTTAAGTGTGGTCTGATGGTGATGGATACAGCCTGGTTTGGCACTTAGTATCACTAGAGAATCATTTGGAACAGAAGAATGTAAGTGGTAGGCTGATCCGCCTCTTCCTCTGGTGGCAAGTTTAACAGGTGCCCCATGGCCACATAGCTTCACACTACTTAAAACGGCTACAGGATGGTTGTGTAAATAAAATTCCACTTTGGAAGCAAAGTTGGACAAAGTAACATATATATTTTTTGTAAAAAAACCCAACCCAAACCAAACCAAAACAGGAAGGTTGGAGCTGGAGGCTATGCGATTGCTCTTTGGAACTGCCGCTGTGAAGTTCAGCTCTGAGGCAAACAACTGCAAGGAGTTACAGTCTTACTAAACCAATTACTTTGGCAATGAATTCCAATTTGTATCTCAGAACAATTTTTAATATATTCAAATAATGTAAAATATATTGTTCTGAGCACATTTATAGTTCAAAATACAAGGAATGCACTATTATTATTTTCCTTATACAGGTGTTATCGAGGCAGTAAGTGAAATAATTGGTCACACTGTAAACATGCAGATGCTGCAATTACAGAGTCTAGACAACAATAAGTTGGCTAATCACATTTGGTATATAAAGCTGCTTGCCTGGATCTGGCAAACGGTGTGATTGTGCAGCAAGCAACTTGGATGGTGGGCATCACTAAATTACCTTTAAAGTGTAGTGTTCAATCATTTCCCGGTCCAATGGTCTGGCCACAAACACTTCTCCATAGGTGTTGTTGGTTGTGCGGATTTCAAATGCCCTGCCTATGTTTCCTGATACTATAGAAAAAGTCACCTGTAAAAAGATATTCATATATACAAAAAAATTAAAAAATCACAATGATGACTGGGAGGTTTAGGGGATCTTGTAAATTCCATAGGAGAACAGTAGATCTATAAATTCATAATGATGCATACGAAAGCACCTTTTCAGACTGAAACTGCTTGGGAAGTTCATAACAGCAGATCATTTCAGGCAGCAAATTAAAGAAAAAGCACACCTCACCTTAAACACAGAGTGCTTCCTGTTTAATACAGAGAGGGCTTCCTTTTAGTACATTGTGGTGGTGAGAACGCTGCCATCTGTTTTTTTCAGGTCCATTGTCCCATCTGTCAGCTGTCAAGCAGCCTCTCAGCACCAAAGGAACTTGTTTAAGATATTGTTTTTTCCCTAACATCTTTCAGAGCCATCTGCTCCATCCATTGCATCTTAAGAGTCCAAGTTATATTTAGTGCTAGTGATTTCACCTTGCAGGCAGGGAAACCCTACCACTGAAGATCAGGGCCTTACAGGAGCCAGTTCAAAGAACTGAGGAAAGCAGAAGGGCAAAGGGCTCCCATGATGCGAAGTGGGACTCACAGATCGGAGGAGGTGGACTCTGCTGAGGCCAGAAGACTTCGCTGTTGCCTCCTGATAGCAGTCAGGGCAACTGGCAATGGCAGCAGCAGAAGTTTGCTTCTGTATAGTCCCTTCAAGATGGTAATATGTGAATTGGCCCTGAAGGAGAAACAGTGCCTATAGAGAGACTTACTGGGTTGTTGGTAGGATAAAGTAGCCATTTCACCTGCCTCAATGGTTGCACCAGAGCTTCCAATCACCAAGAAAGGACAGTGCAGAAAAAAGGTATCTGACAAAATCCTTACACATTTGTCAGGTGCCCCCTGGTCTACCCAGGCACTAGCAGTGGCGGGCTTATGATCCCTGCTAATCCCATCTGACCTCGACAAAAATCTTGAAATCAGCTACGCCTGCTCAGTCTTTCAGTGGATAAGAGCAGCCCAAGAGAATAGCAAAATGGTGTGTCCCCTCTCACTCCCAGTAAAAGTTCTTTATGGATTTCACCTGGATAGCCTTTCTCAACTAAAGGCGAAGGGAGTCGATAATGTCTGTGTGTGTGTGTGTGTGTGTGTGTGTGTGTGTGTGTGAATGTGCGTGCGCGCACCCACACACACACAAAAGTGAAAGTGCTTTATACTTGTACTTGGATGTCACATATGGCTGTGTGGCTCAATCTACAATATTTCTTGTCCCTCAGAGAACAACCCTGTACTCCAACGCCAGCCAGAAACTAGACAGCAGATTTTTTTTTTAAAAAATGTCAGCTTCCCCATTAAAATCAAGTTTATTGATTACAAGGGCATGGAGGATGCAGCTGTTTCAGAGCTGTTATTTGTGGAACCCAACATATCTCTGATGATGCCCTATGTAAGACAACAGAAGCTTTGACAAGCAGGGTGTTATTCATCAGTCTATGAGGCATCCTACATTGCTGTTTCTGAATCATGTGTAGGGCACATATATCTACTTGGAAAGGATCATGAGTTTAATCCAAAGCAGGAAATATGCAATAACAATGAAACCAATTTGCCATCACAATTAGGGCAAGAAAACAGGGTTCACCAATTATAGTTTTGGTATATTGCTAACTCACTATGCAAATATCCACCATTCACCTTCAAAGTTCTTACACAGAAACTAGTGTTTCCTTAATTTTGATGCTATCCCATAAGCACCAAATTAGAATAAGCAAAATGTGACCAACCCACCACATCTCAACACCCTTTTGCTAACTCCACAGTAACTGTACATTTTGAAGCCACACAATCATTGCTACCTGCCCGTTGCTTCCTGCATCAGGGTCCCTGGCCAAAACCAGAGCAATTCGACGTCCAACAGAACTGTCCTCTGCTACGCTCACAGATGAGTCGGAGGTAATGTCAAACTGTGGGCTGTTGTCATTCTCATCCAGTATGGTGATAGTAACCTGTCCAATGGAGACGGCAGATATGAATAAGAGCTCTGTCTGTCTGACTGTCTGTCTCTCACAGACACAAGAACTAGAGCTGGGGAGAAACAGTGATTTAGCAAAAAATTCATTAGATTCACCTTATAATTTGAGGAGAAATGATTTTGTGAAATTGTCCCATGCAATTTTATTTCTCCAAATTGTTTAACTGATTCTTGAAGCATTGCCTATTCCTTGGAAGCATACTTAACACTTAAAGAATACAAACTGCTAGAGGAATGATCCATCCATTCTAGAAAAGTATCATCCTTTCTGTATCATCCATTTTTTTTAATGGTGGCAGCCATTTTAAAAACATCTTAGAACAGGCTTTCTGGAAAAAAGGCAAAATGATGACCACTCTTCCCGCTCCAGAAATTCACCCTACTCCCAAAATATTGGTGAAGCAAAACAGCCCATTCTGAGGTTGAGGAAACGGCTGAGCAATAGTCATTGTCCATGCAGTATGGCCCTACTTTCTACATAATCAGAGCAAACAGAAGGACCCTTGCATTTATAGCTTGAATTGAAGCTGCTGCTGCTGCAAAGGAATGCTTATGTTTGCAGCAAGCCCCACTTTGGGGTTTGTATAAGTGCAGATCCCAGCCGGCTTGCTGTAAGCCTTGATCAGCTGCTCAGCACTTATGACTCCTGGCAGGCACCAGCTGCACTATGCATTGCCCAGTGGAGAACTACAAAGCACAGCCAATCACAGCTGGCTTCCTATAAGTGCCAATCAGTAGTTTGGCACTTCCAGCAAGCTGGCTTGGGGCAAGCATCAGCTGCACTCCTGACGTTGGGAACTCAGTAGCGCAGCCAATCCCAGTCAGCTTGCTATAAGGTGTTTACAGCAAGCCCACTGCAATCAGCTTCACTACCGAACTCCTGGTGGGGAACTCTGTTGTGCAGTGAAATCGCCGCAGGCTTGCTGTCACTGCCAATCAGCTGATGACACTGACAGCAAGCCTCGTTTGCTAGGCAACAATCAGGAGAACTTGAAGGCTTCTGAAAGTTTCTTGGTAGCGATGTCCCCACTTGTCCCTCACCTGATATATAAGATATGACAGATGGGCATGGTTTGGGGAAATTTGCACCACAGGCCAAAAATGGGCCCTTTGCTGGGTTTAAATGGTCCCATGGGCTGGAGTTATCTCACCCCCTGGGCTAAGGTATAATGTCTACCTTAAGAGATGAAAGCCTTAAACTGAAGAACTACCGTATTTTTCGCTCCATAGGACGCACTTTTTCCCCTCCAAAAATGAAGGGGAAATGTGTGTGCGTCCTATGGAGCGAATGCAGGCTTTCGCTGAAGCCTGGAGAGCGAGAGGCATCGGTGCGCACCGACCCTCTCGCTCTCCAGGCTTCAGGAGCTATCCGCAAGCCTTGCAAGCCCGGTGGGAGTTCCCGCGGGCTCACAAGGCTTGCAGGCAGCAGCCTGCAGCCCCGGCGAGTGTCCGCAAGCCTTGCGCGCCCGGCAGGAGGTCCCGCCGAGCGCGCGAGGCTTGGGGCAGCAGCCTGTCGCCCGAGCACGGGGAGCCCTCCGGAGGGCTCCCGTGCTTCGGGCGAGTGTCCTGCAAGCCTTGCGCGCCCGGCAGGAGGTCCCGCCAAGCGCGCAAGGCTTGGGGCGGCAGCCTGTCGCCCGAGCACGGGGAGCCCTCCGGAGGGCTCCCGTGCTCGGGCGAGTGTCTGCAAGCCTTGCGCGCCCGGCAGGAGGTCCCGCCGAGCGCGCGAGGCTTGGGGCTGCAGCTTGTCGCCCGAGCACGGGAGCCCTCCGGAGGGCTCCCGTGCTTCGGCGAGTGTCTGCAAGCCTTGCAAGCCCGGCAGGAGCTCCCGCCGAGCGCGCGAGGCTTGGGGCTGCAGCTTGTCGCCCGAAGCACGGGGAGCCCTCCGGAGGGCTCCCCGTGCTTCGGGCGAGTGTCTGCAAGCCTTGCGCGCCCGGCAGGAGGTCCCGCCGAGCGCGCGAGGCTTGGGGCTGCAGCTTGTCGCCCGAAGCACGGGAGCCCTCCGGAGGGCTCCCGTGCTTCAGGCGAGTGCCTGCAGCCTTGCGCGCCCGGCAGGAGGTCCCGCCGAGCGCGCAAGGCTGGGGCTGCAGCTAGTCGCTCGAAGCACGGGAGCCCTCCGGAGGGCTCCCGTGCTTCGGCGAGTGTCTGCAAGCCTTGCGCGCCCGGCAGGAGGTCCCGCCGAGCGCGCGAGGCTTGGGGCTGCAGCTTGTCTCCCGAGCACGGGAGCCCTCCGGAGGGCTCCCGTGCTTCGGGCGAGTGTCTGCAAGCCTTGCGCGCCCGGCAGGAGGTCCCGCCGAGCGCGCAAGGCTTCGGGCGGTAGCCTGCAGCCCGAAGCACGCGAGGCTTGGGGCGGCAGCCGCGGGGGGGGGGGGAATAATTTTTTTTATTCATTTCCCCCCCCCAAAAAACGAGGTGCGTCCTATGGGCCGGTGCGTCCTATAGAACGAAAAATACGGTAGGTCACTGTTTCCTAAACTTGGGTCTGCAGCTGTTTGTTGGACTACAACTCCCATCATCCCTAACTAACAGTACCAGTGGTCAGGGATGATGGGAACTGTAGTCCCAAAACAGCTGGGGACTCAAGTTTGGGAAACACTGAACTAGGTGGTACCTCTAACACAGGAATCCCCAAACTCGGCCCTCCAGAAGTTTTGGGATTACAACTCCCATCGTCCCTAGCTAACAGGACCAGTGGTCAGGGATGATGGGAATTGTAGTCCCAAAACATCTGGAGGGCCAAGTTTGGGGATGCCTGCTCTAACACTTCTATATGGCTGGAAGAACTAATTCAAGTTTACTCAGAAGCAAATATCTCTCTGTTCAACAGGACTTACTGTAAACATGGCCTGGGTCGTAGGCTACATGTGCATTCAGGCACTTCTAATATAGCGAGTTCCTCTAATCTTCACAACCACATGGACAGAGGGAAGTGGAAACCTCCCATTTATTATAGAGGCTCTGCACAACACCTCACTGGTGTTGACACAAGAGCCCATTTAGCAATAAATGTAGCCCAGAAATACATGGAAATTCCAGCCCACAGTTACATTAGTCAACTCACACAGCATCAAAATATTCTCAGAATCACTTTGCTGTGAGAACTGTCGTCAGTAGCTCTTTTTTTTTGGTAAAGGGATCAAGTTATTATGGATGTGCCTCAGCTGCAGTCATGAGTCCAAAATCACCCTGATAGTATTCAAGCGGTGTTTTCTGTCATTAGCTAAAGGAAATGCTGTCATGTCTAAAAATAACTGTGCATGCACACACACAATACACAAAAGGAGGAGAAAAAGAGGAAGATGCTTTTATTTATGAGTCTTTATTTACCTGGTTAAAGGCTCCAGCTGCAGGGCCAGGCAGCATGGCCTGCTTCTAGAGGGAGGCTGAAGCCCTCTTTCTGCTTCTTTTAGGGCAGGCTTCCTCAGCCTCGGCCCTTCAGATATTTTGAGACTACAATTCCCATCATCCCTGACCACAGGTCCTGCTAGCTAGGGGTCATGGGAGTTGTAGGCCAAAACATCTGGAGGGCCGAGGTTGAGGAAGCCTGTTTTAGGGTGATTTTTTTATCCTTGTTGCATGCTTCTCCACTTCAAGAACAAGCAGCTGCTGAAATGAGTGGCCACCTGAACAGCCAAACCTGTCTCCTCTAACCCACCTCGATTCCTTCCATTGTTGACTCTCTTTTGGCCCATTTTTTCCAACACAACATCACAACTTTTCCCAAACCTTTGTTCAGAGATGTGCTTTATTATTATTATTATTATTATTATTATTATTATTATTATTATTCCTTCACCTATTCCATCGCTGTGTTGTCTCACTTAAGACTTTGGGAGCTGAGTCCTACTTCAAGTAAAACTCGGGGGACTGAGGAGGACTGCAGAGCTTCACGCCTGCACAAAGCCCAATTTACTGTTTCTAAATTCCAGTATACCCAGAATAGCCTGGGATGGACACGAAAAGATCTGAGAGAAAAATGACCTTCCCCTCCACTCCCCTTTCATTCTCAATCCTAGGGAAAAAGGGTTGCTTAGAAGAGTCATAAATGAGTTTGTGAGGCATTTATGCTCTGACTGGGTGCACATTCTTAGGGGCAGCAAGTCATTTGTTTAGTGGACTGAACAAGGCCTGCCTGGCAAGATAGAACAACCGTCTTCTTTAAAAGTATTT